CTGCAATCCTATACACTTTTCTCTGAAAATATATATATAAATCAATATCAACATTTTAACAATAATCAACATAAAATATTCTCAACCCTAGTATTATTATAATTTAAGTCCGTATCGACTATTGCTGCTGAAAATATAAGTTCTTCCAGCTTTATTAAAGGCCATGAAAAAAGAAGCATTTTAAGAGACTTTTTAAGTCACAGGAGATGGGATTCAAACATAATTCAAGGGGAAGATGGGAGAAAGTTCCAAAACGTGAGGTGCCCATTCCTACATGAGGCAAAATTAATCCATCTTGATTGTACAAATGAGCTGAGCGTACATGAAATGAATTCATAGATATTGGTCTTTCTCTCCCCCCACCCCACCCCACTCTTGTGTTATGTCAGCTGTTTCATCTGTAACCATCTCAAAGCAGCTCAGTGGAGATCCTTCAGGACCAATAAAGGAAGTACTTTTGTATACAATATAAAAGGCTCATTATTGTATCTCCCTAACCATGGCACAAACACGCCCTTGCAACTGCTTTTTCATTCTATTTCCTCATGAAGTTGTCTTCATCTCACCCCCAGCAAGTCACTGAAACAATCTAAACTTGTTTCAGTTTCACATTACTTCCTCACTATCAATTTGTAGCATCTTCTACAGTAATCCAACCATCATTATGCCAAAATAACAGTAATGAGAACAGGTTTTAGATCACTTCAGCGAGAGCTGGGTGATGCTATGAAGCCCCATGAGCCTCTAGGACGGAAATAATCTTAAAGTACTGTCTTCTGTCTTCTCCCAAAACTATCTTTGTCATGGACATGATTTGAAAGCCTTCACTGATGCTGTGGTTGCTGTCAGGGGTTGGGATCTGCCCAGCAAAGATCTACTAATCTAGGCTGCTGTGGGAATGGCCTCCCCTCCCATGTCTTTGAACTGCCTTCAGGGGCCATTTTGGCTTGGGACCAATCTGCCTGTATAATGCTTGGTTGGTGCTTTCCAAAGGCCTTGTCAGGTCTTATGTGGGCTCCTCATAACTACAGGCTTAATGGTCTTTTGAAAGTCCTGTGTCTGTGCTTCATGGAAGGCCATTTTAAACTAGGAGAAGAATATGGTTCTGCCATGTGTGTTGGAGCTTCTGTCACCATTAGATATATTACAAAGTTATTTTTGCTACGTCTGCTAACAAAGAGTCTTGAATGGCCTTATATTTTACTGTTCTACACTACTTTTATTATTTATGAGAATCACATACAAGAGTAACTGCCACCCTGACTGGTCAACATTCCTGAGCTGCAATCCTTGTAGCTGTTTGCGCTTCTTTATGTCACCCTTGGTGGGAGGAGGAACACACCATTTTGCTTGCTCATTCCAGCTTTGGTGGCCCTAGATTCCATGATGGAGCACTCTTGTCACTTGTTCATTATTTTAAATCCAAAAATGTCCTGGGTGGTAGGCCTGTAGTACCCAGAACTGAACTGCATTCTCAGAGAAGAATGTGAGGACGACACCTCAGTGCATGGTGTATAACTCTGCCTTCCACAGATTGACAGAAAGGTCGACAGTAGCCTATAGTTTGGGGTACCCTGCAGTACCTTGGCAAACAGGATGAGGCCGGCAGCAATCAAACTTGGGGACTACTTTGAATAACCTCCCACAGATAACCTGGGGATATTGGGCAGGCATTCCGCTCCCAGGCTGACCATTTCCGTGACTCCATGATGTGGGGCAGTGCTGTGAAATTTGATGTTGCTGATGTCATTCACTTAGCATCTGGGGGTGCTGTGAATAAATGTCAGGACTACAACAGCCTTTTGCTAACTCTCCTCTTCATGTCTTCCTCTAGGAGTAGAAAGGACACAAGTGGTATTGGGGTTGATTATACGCTACCTTCAGAATGAGGAGTGGGCAGCATCCATCTATAGTTCATCAATTATTTGCCACTCTCATACAAGGGAGCTTTTCCTAAATTTTTAATGGATTTTTTTTTCCTGGGGAAAAGTGGATAGAAAGATTATATCAGCCTTGGCTGATGAAGAAAAAACAAAACAGTTATCAATCAGATTATAGCTTACATAGGAGGTCAGATGGGCTACAGAAGACACAGGGAGGTCAAGGAATGTTCTTGTCTAACAGTACTGCCTCAACGCGTGGATGCACACATATACATGCAATTGCCTTCAGATGGGGTGATGGTCCTTAATGTAGGCTTCAAAGATGACTAGACAGAGGAATAGCTGATCACAAGTTCAGGAGGCATTATGGAGGAAGTGACAGGGTCCTGAACTCAAACACTCATACAGTATTTCCTGAGTCAGTGTAGCTATGGTATGAAAAGGAAAAGGTGCAGCTCTTTAAAGAAGCTGCAAACAGCTACAGTAAGAATGTGCATGCTGAATCCAAAGCATCTTTGCCATCTTGGTAACTGCAAGGTATGAGAATGGTAAGACAAGAACCCAATACTGCAAACATCAACTAAGTTTATAACCTTCCAAAACACAGATGGTTGACCTCTGAATGACACAAAATATACTAGAAGGCTGCAATCCTATACACTTTTCTCTGAAAGTTAGCCCTGCTGACTTCAATGATATTTCCTTGTAAGTCAACATGTACAGGGCCACTATGCACAAGTTGTCTGTAAACTGCAGGAGCATCTGTAGATTTTTGTCAAAATGAGGGAAGCAGCATTGCAATATGCATTACAAGCTGCATCTCTTTCATACATCTGTGGAATAACATCACATATACAAAAAGGATGGAATTTTTGTCGTGGCAGTGCAACACTATTTTCACCTTTGCCTCCTCTGTGGACCGTCCTGACTGTATAGTTTCTTTGTGCTGCCGGTCATACAGAAGAGAATATTTGGTATAAATTAGAACCAAGAAGCTCCCTCTTTTGGATTTTGAATGTTGGGATGAGTTACTGTATTAAAGCAAGGTAAAATTTATCATGATGGATGTCTATTATGGGGGACAATGGAAGCCACTTAGCAATTTTGTCTTTCAACAATTGCTCAACAAATTTTGCACAGAAGAAGAGAGTAAGTTGCTTCATTTTACAGGTAAGTACAGGTTTTTATTAATTCTGGAACAGTTCTTCCACTTAAAAACAAGTATATAGCATCGAAAATGTAAACATCAAGATGAGATGGAGGAAGAATTCCTCCTGTACAAGCTCACTTAACCGTGAGAGATTTGTAGCACTGAGGACCTCTTCAGTTTTTGCAGTACAGCTCATATTTCAACATTATTCCAAGCTTAGTTTTTGCTACACTCTCCTCAAATTTTCTGTCCATTTTTTCATTCTGGCTTTCTGAGAAGACAGACATCCAGTCACCTACTATGCCTGCAAAAAAAAAAAAAAAAAATCAGCAACAATTGCAGTCGGAGGGTGGGGGTTGGGAAGGTAAATGGAGAGAAAGACCTTCAGTTAACACAATGAGCAGCTATTTTTCCTTAACACTTGTCTAAAAATAATGAAGAGTTTTATCATACTGTAAAGACACTTACATGGCATATTTTTAGGCTCTGGGGTCCACTTCATCAGGTTCATGAAATGTTAATTTTAACAGGGAGGTTTTATACATGCTTGGGTATATGGAACATATGCAGCTCTCCAATTTGGAACATATGCAGTTCTCTGATTCTGCCCTGCCTTATCCCTAAAAAAGGTTCACCTAGCCATTTGCCTTTGAACAGGTAACAAGAATGAGTACATTTCAATGAGCTTTTGTAGGTCACTATCAGGCTTCACAAGAGGGCTTTTGTCCAGGCATTTGTCCCCTTATTCAGCATTTGTCTCTACTCACCAAGAGGTCTTTCAGATAAGACTTGGTGAGATTTAAATCTTTATTACAGAGAAGAATGAAATCCTGAAACAAAGCAGTTGATTCCCAGTTGCAGTGCAAAGAAGTCAGATCCTTCTTATATCTATGCTCCAGAATTAAATCTAGACTTTTTCCTCCCATCCTTCCAATTTAACCGTCTCTTGATGTCCTTTGGAGGCAGGTAAGACATATTTCTATAATAGTTCTACCTAGCCAGGGAATCACTGGTGCCTGTCTTACCATTCTCATTCCTTGCAGTTACCAGATCTAAGTAGCTGTTTATGCTTATTGATTCCTTAGTCTTTCAGTGCTGTCATTCTACTATCCTCTCTTAACTGAATTTATTGTAGTTCGGTGGAAATTGCCACTAAGTAGATATGCTATTTCTATGATGATTTAATTTGGATTCTTTGATCCTAAAGTTGTTACTGGTTTTACTGATTTATTATAGCCTGATGTGGCTATTTTATGGAGAGACGGCTATACATTTTGTAAACAGATAAATAATACACACATTCATAAGGGCGCAAAGAGCTGTTAAACACAACACCTAACATTTTCAAACCTGGTTTTCTTTATGTGATATGGAGGGTTCCTGTACAGATGCAGTTCTTTCCTGCTCCCTTAGGACACATGGTTCTGCTTTAGGTAGAGATTAATTCTAAAATATTCAGCCCAAATATTTGTATTATATTCCCCAATATCTGAATAAAGCTACCTATGCTAATGCCCTGAAAGCAGCATGCTTATCAGCTTTTTCCAACCCATTGCTAGACTTCAGTCCTTATCATTCCCAGCCAACACACCTTTGAATATCGGGAGTTGAAATCCCATCCCACATGAAGCCGCTGGGTTAGAGAAGACCGCTAAACGTTGTTGGCAAAATTATTAAAAAATATTACAATGTTACCTTTGCGGAAAAGAATCTGGCCCACTTTTCCATAACTTTTTGCCACATTATTTTTCATGGTTTCAAAACTTGTTTTCTGTACAATGGTTTCAATCTCTTCTTCAGTCACAGAAAAATCAAAGAATTCCGCTATCTTTTTCAGTGCTAAGGCTGCATTCTGAATAACACAGAGATATATGACATAAGTAACCTGGAAACATTTCAAGTCCCTCAATACCAAGTCTTGATCTGTGTAAATACAAAAATTTTGATATTTGTAGGCTGGACTTGTGTGAATTAGAATAAATAAACAAATAAGCAAAACAAAAGACAGTCTTGCTTGCTCCACTGAAATATCAGGAGTAGATCAGCTGATCCAGAGGTTGAATTTTAAAATAAAATGTTCTTGAGATATTTACCAGTTGCTTAGAGAAAAGCAACCAAGCAGAAACCTTGAGTTGTAATTCCTATTTGAATTTCTTGATCAATAACACACTTGGCCAGAAATAGTTTTATTCTTAAAAGCTTACCTCTTTTATTTCCTCATAGGTAATAAAAAATATATTGCTGTTATCCATATACTTGTTCCATTCAAGAATATGATCAAAATAAGATCCATAGGCCACTGATAGGAATCAAGCAGAATGTTTTGATTATTGATCTATAATACAGTGAATGGTAATCAATATTTACTTTGCTGTTTGGCCCCACAAACCCATCAAATAAACAAAGACAAAACTATGTGATCCTTATGTTTGTAAGTCAAAGTTTGGAGAGGTGGGATAAAATAGTTCTCTGGATATTTCTTCCATGAGTAATTCAGGAAACGGTTCTAACATAAATCATGTGGGAATTCTGCTTCAAATAATATTGGAGAAACATAATTGTTTGACCACCTACCTATTCATTCTTTCCATCAATATTTTATATTGATTCAAATGCAATCTCTTACTGTACCCTTTCTATTTAACTGTTTCTTTTTTTCTGATCATTAACGAACGATGGTGATTTTGTCAATGCTGATGGTGTTCAGGTAGCACTCCAGACATTTTGGGATTGCACCTAAAGCGCCTATAGCTCTTCATACTATCTTTGCTTTCTTTTGCCATAGTCGTTCTATTTGCAGGTTCTCTTCAGTCCTTTCTCTTCTGTTCTGCTGTCTCCTGGTATTGCAGTGTCCACTATCCAGACTTTTTTGTCTTTCTTATCAACAATTGTTAAGTCTGGGGTCTTGTGTGGCAGATGCTTGCCTGTTTGAATTTGAAAGTCCCAGAGCACTTTAGCTTCTTCTTTTTCCATTCCTTTGTCTGCTTTGTGTTCCCACCAGTTCTTGCTTGCAGGCAAATGGTATTTCTTGCAGATATTCCAATGCAACATTGTTGCTACATTGTCATGCCGCTGTTTGTAGTCAGTCTGTGCAATCTTCTTGCAGCAGCTAACCAGGTGGTCCACGATTTCTTCAGCTTCTTTGCAGAGGCAGCATTTGCTGTCCGTTGCTGTCTTCTCAATTCTGGCTTTATGTGCATTTGTTCTTAAGGCTTGGACTTGTGCAGCCAGAATTAGCCTCTCTGTCTCTTTCTTCAAATTTCCTGTTCTTAACCATTGCCAGCTCTTCTTGTTATCTGCTTTGGCTGCTAGTTTTTGTGTGTGTGTGTGTGTGTGTGTGTGTGTGTCTGTACTGCCCATGTAATACTTTGCCTTACCATGTCTCTTTTCTATTCCTCATTTGGTCTTTCCTATAGGCCAGTCTGGTTTCTTTGGTATTCAGTAAGCTTTATGGTGTACTAGTTTCAGTGCATCTTCTTCACTGTCCTTCAGATGTTCTACCAATGCCCTTTTTTCTTCTTGAACTGTCTGATGTACTTGTAACATTCCACCCCCACCTATGCTCCTTGGTAAGTAGAGTCTGTCAACATCACTGTGTGGATGAAGGGCATCATTCATTGTAATTATTTTCTTGATCTTCCTATTGACGGCTTTTAGTTCACCTTGAGTCCAGTCCACTATTCCAGCTGTATATCTAATGACTGGACTTGCCCAGATGTTAATCACTTTGATGGTATTTCTGCCACTGAGTTTGAACTTTAAGATATTCTTCACTCTTCTGATGTATTCACTACTAACCTACTTCTTGACTTCAGTGTGCTTGATGTTGTCAGCCTGAAGGTTGCCCAGGTATCTGTAGTGATCTTCTTCATCCAGATTCTTGATGTTATTTCTACTGGGCATCTTGATTCCTTCTTCTTCTTCTTCTTCTTCTTCTTCTTCTTCTTCTTCTTCTTCATTATTATTGTTATTGTTATTGTTCTTATTTAATTGTTGGCTTGCTTGGCTAACAGGGGCATCTATAGGGGGAACCAAAAGTTTACAAGCACCCAGTCAAAGCCCTGCTCTTTCTGTTTTACACATGCAGAAGGCACAACACATTTCAAAAAGGTGCAGGGTTTGATTGCATAGTTATAGCCATCACTTGACATTTTTGACACCCCCCTCCCCACTGATGCCCCTGTTTGTTAAGAATGACTATACATTGGGTTGCCTTAACCGTTCACCAAAACTGATCTTCGGTTTGCCATTTATTCAGAGTGTTTAATTCCAAGTTTTGTTTATGGTGTACCAGTCAACCAATACTTCATTTCAAATGTAGTCAACCACACTCAGAGGCGTCTGCAGGATCCAACGTTCTCAACAAAAGGATGAAAACGGCAACCTGCCATTATGACACAATGCTGCTTTTGTCCTTTGTTCCCTGCCGTCCCTTGATGCTACCTGTGGATGCTTCTGACCATACCTGTCCAAGGATCCTTAGTCATTAAAGTAAATATATTTCATCACTTCACTCCACTAGGCTAAAATGGGGTTGGGTAGTTTGTAGTTCAGTACTGTAGGAAATATTTCCTTAGCATGTTGGGTGAACCCTGTCATCACATTAAACATAATATGGTTTATGGGGGTGGGGGCATCATAGCATGGTATACAAATACAGTAATAATGTGCAGGTAATTCAGACTTAAGATTAAGCCCGTTAGATGAACCTAGGTTTAGAGTATGAAACAGAATGTGGAACTTTTGTTCCTTTGTTACTGTATCTGCCAGATAGCTAGAAGCAATGGAAATAGGTTTCAGTGTTCAAAGACAAACAGGAGGAAAGAGGCCTTTGTCCACAAGCATCTTGCTTCCCCCTCACAGACAGATGGAGAGCACAGAAGACTCAAAGGCAAATGGAATAAGGCGAAGGGCTGTCTGCAGTCCACTTTCCCCCTTATCTCAAGGAAGCCCCCCCCCCCACTGAGAAGGAGAAGGAAACACACCTTTTCCAATGATAAAATCTTCAAAGAACTCATCCCAGGTTTCCTGGTCAGAAATCAGTTGCATGCCTTTGGCAAAATGGAAGAAAGATACAGCTGTGTCCTTTGGATTCCGAAACAAAACCAGGATCTTTAAAGCATAAAGATATATTGACATGTAAATGTAAAAGCTAGGACAACAGAGCCAGAATAAGAAAAACATTCCATTTTTTTAAAAATGCAATATGAAAGTTCAAATGTATTTGGAAATGAACTGAATGAGGATTGGAGATCAGGTCATCAAATTAGGAGAACAGTAATTTTTTAAAGTTCTTTCCCAAGATCCTAAATACAGTATTTTAAGCAGCAAAGCTAAGAATCTTTTACATGAGATCTTTAACAATGGTTCAGTTTGGATAGTCAAGTGAAGATATCACTGATTTGATATCTTGCCTGATAGAAACATAACACTAATAATGGCTGTAACAAGCCTCAGACTGTGGGCTTCAATGTTGCATGTTCCTTTCACACTTGAGAAGCAGAAATAGAACACTTCCAACTTTTATTTTGAATAAAGTACAGTTTCCCACAGCTGAGTTCCAGACCAGCTCAGGATCTGGAAAGGTGGCGTGATCTTGGGCTTGTCCTCTTTTACTGTGTAAATTTATTTAACAACATCTCACTGATAGTTGGTACAGGTATTAATGATATATAAAATCATTATTAAGACACTTCAAGTACTTACTTTTGCCTTTTTTTCAAAAAATGACTTGGGCAACTTTTGAGGAATGAGGTGTGTTTTTATAACTCTTCTGGAAGGCAGTTCTTCCAACTTCTGTAATAATATTGAAATAATCAGAAAGTTAACATCATTTATGCAAAGAAAACCACACACAAATGTAAGTTAGTGATATCAAAGTTCACCTCTAAATGCCTGAGTCCCACTGATTTTGGTCATCACAAACTGCCTAACGAACTGCATATACGGAGAAGATTGTTTCATATACAGTGGTACCTCGGGTTACGAACACCTCTGTTAACGAACTTTTCGGGTTACGACCAGCTCCGCCCCTGACACGTGGTCCGCAGGCATTTTTCCGCCCCTGACACGTGGTCCGCGGCCATTTTTCCGCCCCTGACACATGGTCCGGGGCCATTTTCCGCCCCTGACACGTGGTCGTAGGGAGGGGGACTCTCCCTCCAAGCAATAGCTGCCTCCCTGTCCTCCATGCCAGAACGGATTAACGGTAATTACATTGAACCTTATGGGGAAATTTGCTTCGGGTTGCGACCAATTCGGGTTGCGGCCAGAGTCACGGAACGAATTAAGTTCGTAAACCGAGGTTCCAGAAATTTGCTTCGGGTTGCGACCAATTCGGGTTGCGGCCAGAGTCACGGAACGAATTAAGTTCGTAAACCGAGGTTCCACTGTAAACCATATTGATTGATGTGAGAAAAGTTACTGTGGAGTCTATAGCGTAGCAGAAATGTGAAAGAACGGAGCAGTTCAACACCGTTTGTCATCCTGTCACATAATCTCCAAACACATGTGTGTTATTTGGAGGGTGATAAATTCCTCTGCGAAAGCACTGGGGTGGAGCAGAGAAGGGTTTTTTCACATGTACAGAGATCTCATGCAGGGGGGGTAAGGATGGTGAAAACAAGCTGATGAACTGGCAGGAGGGAACTTGGAGTTAAGTTGAAGTTTTGCAATTGGGGAAAAAAGAACATGGCTGGCAAATTAAACTGGATTTAGGTAGCTTGGATGCTAAAGGTCTTCACGTTCATGATGGACCAAAGACCACCATTTCTGCAGTGACAGAAAGATCCTTGAAAAGAGAGGAGGATTGTGCTTTGAGGGCTTGGGTCTACCCAACCAAAGAATAAGAAGAGAATCAGAAGAAGACCCAAGAAGAAGATAATTATTTGTCTAGCCACAAGAGATTGCCATCTAAGCATAATTAACACATTTGGTTAATTCTAATATGGGGAATTATATGGCATACATAGCTACATTTTAGAGCACACACAATGACACGAGACAGGGAGATAGGTATGCTCAGAATGGTCAATTTGCTGCATTTCAACCCTTCTTCAGGAGTCTTTGTAAGCAGGTGAAGAATGGAGGAGGAAATCTGTTTCTCTATGTTACTTACGTTATTAGTTTTGTATGGCTGAATGAGAAACCAAAGGATTCTATCTTTTAACTTTTAAAAATCTGATTGATGAGAAGGTCTTTGAGTACTGTAGTTTATCTGGTTGGCTCCTGAGAACCACCTCGCACCCACCCATGACAAAGAGGCTGAAGGCAAGAGTGGCTTGGAAGGGAAACAAACGTCTTCAGTTGTCGCTTCCTAGATCTTAGCAACTGGTTTTAGATACACTGCCTTTGAGATTGGAGATGGTTAGGAGACTTCAAAACTATCAACCATTATGAATCCAATTCTCCATCAATTTGTCTTAAGGCCAGCTAAACCATTGGTCATTATTATATTATGCTATATTCATAAACTATGTATCCTGTGTAGCCAATTCCATACCTAATTATGCATTTGAACCTTGGGACACTTTAGAAGAAACTCTACACAGCTGGAAAGCCAACACTTTGAACATGCTTTTTCTTGTCATGAAAACTGTGTTTAAAAATGATTTTTGGCATCTAATTCCAGCTAGTAGAAATTAATCCCTGAAAACAGTTCCAGGCCAAATTTTTCTTGCTAAATTGTGTCCAGCATGTTCAATATAGCATTCCAGAATATTTTAGCTGATGTGGAAATCCTTGGTTGAATACAGTGATCCCTTAATTGATTCCAGAGAAATAAATATGGTCTCCATCAGTACAATATACAATAGGGATATAGATTGAGGACATTCCTGACATGTGGAATTGGCACTTGGATCCTTTACCACTATTTAAGTTATCTGACTCTTCAAGTCATAATTCAAGTCATAATTTTTTATTTGTTTCTCTTCATACAACCAATATATATGGTCCCTGAATTGGTGGTGTGTGTGTTTTGCACTCCCTGGGGGAGGAAACTGGATCTTACCACGGATACTTGGTGGCATATAATCAAAAATCAAAGATGCAACTTCACTCCGTATTCTAATAGAAATAACATTAAATAAGGTTTGCTAAGCTTTGAGGTAGAATTAATTTGCCTAAAAAAATGAACCAGCCAAGCTAAAAATGTTCTCTCTGCTGACTTGGGTCCTGATGTCGATGGATTCCTTCCTTGTGACCTCTGTCTGCTAAAGTATTACCACCTCCCATCATCACAAGCATTAACATGAGCACAGCTCCTATTTCCAGAAAGGAGGCCTGTCCCTAGTATTTCTTATAGATCAATGAATACATGTTACGACCTTTAAGGGCAGAGTCCAGGCTGGCAAAAATCTGCTTTGTTTTTAGTATAGCTCCAATGATCTGCAATATATATTTCCTGTGAGCTGATTGAACTGAACACACAGTCCTCACACAAAAATCCATATTTCTTTCCTGCACCTGTTCAGCTTTTTTCCTTTCTACTGACTGAATTTCACTTTGTTAAATCTCAAGCTGCTTTGTCCTACTTAAATAGCACTCCTGTTTACAACACCTTCTCAGCTTTTAAATCTTTCACGTGATTTCCTGCCACTTGATAAAAGTATTTCTCCATCTTCTAACCTCAAATTTCCCTGGATCTCCAAATTCAAGGAAAGGATATGGTGACATTTTTTCCTGCCTCTGCTTCTGTTCATCTTCATCATACTTTCCAGAGGCAACTTCCAGCTGTGTTAAAATCTGTCCAACCCAGTTTGAACCTGAAGAAATGCAGAAATGTTGTCAGTTAATAAGTAAAAGGACATATCCTGACCATAGACCATTTCAACCATATCAGGGTTGAAATCATAAGCATGGAATGAGAAATGCAGGAATAAACATTGACTGCACATGAAACTTCAAAAAGAATGAGAGGAGGGTTGCCATTCTGTTGTCTGTTCCTGTCAGGTTCAGCCCAAAGAACTCCACAAGACAGTGCAAATACAGTTCTGTTGCGTTTATTAGCTTCCACCTCAAGTCAGAAATCTCTCCAGACTGAACCTAAGTTCCTAAGCCAACAACACCGTGAATTCCTTAGGGTGGTGCCAGTCTCATCTTCTTAAACTTCCCACACTCCGCTGGGGGCTAAGGAAACGCTTAACTCCCTGAGTGTGGCCTTCATAACACTAACACCATTCCATCACAGTTCCAGGCACAGTAGCTTTAGGTACAGTATGTAGAGTTGTCAAGTCAGAATTTAGCATTGAGCAAGTAACCAGACATTAAGCTTAGTTACTAAAAATGGCAACTATCAAGTATCTTTTTCCCAAAATAAAGGTATGAAACAGAGCCTGATAAAGCTATATTATAATCTATGTTACCTGAAATATTCATGGTCTCAGAATCAAAGCTCTTGCAGCCACAATGAAGCTTGCTTAACGACATTCATTTAACAATGGTTCAAAGTTACGATAGCCTCAGAAAAAGTGCTTTGCAACCTGTACTCACACTTTCAACCATCGCAAACCGTTGCACCACCCTCACGGTCATGTAACTGCAATTCGGGCACTTGGCAACCAGCTCGCATTTGCAACCAGTTGCAGCGTCCTGCAGTTACATGATTGTGATTTGCAACCTTTTCTGGTTTCCCAAAAAAATCCATTGGGGATGTAAAAATGGTCATGAAATTGGGTCCAGTCACATGCGACTCGCTTAATGACTGCCCCACTTAACAACCAATCTTCTGGCCCCTATTGTGGTTGTTAAGCAAGGACCACCTGTAGGTTCTATTTAACAGGAACTCTGTTATAAACTCTAAAGAAACTATCAAACATGCACATATATGTGCAGAGACAAAAGCATTCCTCGCAAAACTGTGATGCTTACCTGTTTTAGGGTATGCCACTAATATGACATCATCTCCCCGAGCTCTAAAAGTGCAAACCCTTTTCAGAGTTTCTGGGCAGGTGACCATTTTAGGATATAGCACTCCATCATACATAAATGTCCGATCCGAAAGAGCGGTCTTTTCATTTTCTTCCAGCTTCTCATCCAGAACCTCATTCATCTCTTTTGGATCCATGGTTGTGATATTCTAAGATCACAGCTGGGTAGCCTGGAGACTCAGTTGGCTTTGTAAGTGAAGCTAATACACTTACAGAGAAGTCATCTGTCACATGACAAAGAATACGCTGCTATCTTTTCTCAAAGAACAGCTCTTGTTACTGATTTACTGTCAGTAAATATATTAAATATGCCAATGAAGTTTATGGAACCCTTCTTCCTGTACAAAATTTTCCAATGAAATTGTGACCAATTTGGATTGGGTGGATGACACGTCAGAGAAAAATGTATTCTTAAGGAGGAGAAAACTGGTCTGTCAGCTTTTCTGGAAATGGGGTTAGAGTTCCTGAGTTCATGAAACACACGATCCGCAGCATGCTAGAAATCCTAGTGCAGCATTTTCACAGGGCAAAAGGAGTGGCAGTAATTAGCCATTGCCAAGATAGGCTATTCTGCTATGCATTTTAACCCTTGTCTTTCCTAACTTTTCTTTTTTTAATCCAGATGCCACTGCCGTAATACGCCTATTTTTGTCACTATAGACCTTGCTACATACCATTTTGAAACAAAGCTTGGCAAGTTGATATTAGTTGTTTATGATGACTCTGAAAGGCTTGCAGAAATAATATAATGTTATAAAATGAAATAATATAATAATTGTATAATTTTTATTCTTTCTACCTGTACTACCTGATCTGGTAGAAAGGGCATTCTCCAGGTTGGGTAGGGAGTGTCGGCTGGTGGGGTCCAGAAGGAGACCCTTTTTTGCTGTGACACCCCCCTTTAAACATCATCCCTCCCCCCCACCGAGATTAGATTGGCCCCTTCCCCGCTGGCCTTTCATAAGGCCTTGAAAACTTGGCTTTGTGCCAAGCCTAGGGCCCTGGGCATGGATTGGAGCCCATCTCCTGTTTGTGTGGATGATTGGTTAGATTACACCTGGCTGCTGTGTATTTTATGTATTTTATCTGCTTTAACTGAAAGTTAATGACCTAAGATTGTAAGGTAGACTGCCAGGGAGTAGGCAAGAGATTTGGTCTTTGGCTTATACATTATATTGGACAGCACGCTGAATTGGGCTCAGAAAGCAAGTGACACCCATTACTTACTTTTAGGAGGTGCTACTCCAGCACCTCCTAAAAGTGCCTACAAAAGGGAGCCATTCACATTAGTACAGCCACATGCTAAGAGAGCTATAATTTTTTAATCATGTTCAAGGACTGCCTCATAATGAGCATACTACAAATATCCTGCTTTGTGGTTACCCAAATAACCAGTATAAATTGCTGGTGTTGGCACTTCATGCTCTGCCAATGGGTATGATATTTGAAAGACCTGCTGGTGGCTCTGAGCCTGAATGCTTGATCTGATTACCAGGCCAGGGTTGATTGGTTCTCCCAAGGACTAGAACTCCATATCCCAACTGAGAGCCTTTCCTACTTGTTCCGGTTCCTTGGAATCAACTCCCAACCAGCATTACATTTAGAATCAGATCTCTTCACATTTAAAAATTGCAACCTAGTGGTTTCATTAAAGTTGGTGCAAAGCAGATAAAGTTGTTAAATTGCTATATTGCAGGATATAGGATGCAGGACATTGAATCTGCTAAGATGGGTATGTAGATCAATGGTACAGATTTGGGGAAGAGGCAGTCATCTCATTCCAGACCTGATGCCTCCCACTTATAGTTTCACTAGCCCGACCCCTAAAGGGAGGAGCACAAAACAGATGGAACAAAGCTAATTTGGGAGGGGGAAGGGAGAAAACTGACTCAGAAATATATACAGTATAAGACTCCAACTTAGAAGGTAGGGAGCAATGAATGAGAGGGGAAAAGAAGAAAGGTTGGGGAATTCTGGAAATTGAAGTCCACATATCATAAAGTTGCTAAAATTGCTTTAGCCCAATTGACAGGTGGCACACATGGCACAGGGACCACAGAGTGAAGGGAAAAGAACTCTCCTAATGCAGCTTGAAATCCCAAAAAGAATAATTCATTTGTATTATGGCCAGGATCATGACACAGAAGTTGTCATCAGAATTAAGTTCCCCCTGGTTATTTACTGTTTAGGAGTAAAGCAATGAGATTTTGCCTCTGAAGGGAAAACAAATGACTCCACATACATACCCTACTTGTCTAAAAAGAAATGAAATTGAGTTGCTTGGACTTCCTTCCTTCTTCTGAATTATCAGTGGTTGAAGGAGTTTGGAAGAAAATGTCGAGAAATAGTTGATATTTACTCTTGCTGGTTTTGGCATTAAGAAAAAGATCTGGTCAGAAGGGTTTTTTAAAAAGAAAATGAAAACAAGTTTGGCTTGTCACTTTCCCTTTCACATTCTTTTCAACTTCACTTTCACATTTTAATCCTGAAAGAGCTTGGCAGAGAGGAGATGGGTATGGATAGGGTTACCAGACATCTGGCAAAAGGAAGACATGTCCTCCTTTTGTCCTCATGTCCTCCGTCCAGCAAGAATAGCCTTAAAATCAAATACTGTCCGGCTATTTGAGTGTCTTGGTTTTAAAAAAAAAAAATTGGATTGTTTTATAACAGTAGTCATTGAAATTTTTGTGTATTGTGCCCTTGTAAATTGTCTACTTCTTTCTTTCCTGCATCTGTTGACAGATTCGACAGCCTAGATTTACATTATTTTTTTTATATTTCCTGGTTCCAGCAACTGGTTTCAATCCAGCCCCTTTAAATCTATGATCAGTGTAGTCTGTAGATCACATACTCATCCTACATTTCTACAGTGAAATTTGAAAAGCACTTTGTCATCAATTCTATATTACTGCTAGTCTACGTTCATGAAAATAAAGATTTGTTGGAAAAATACTGTGATTGAACAACCAGTCTTTCTGATGCTGAAAAGGTAGTGTCATATACATATAGGCCCAAGTACATTTTTTCGCTTGTTGTTGTTGTTGTAATTTTTGTCACAGATGCCAAGTTAAACAGATAGCGTGTCTTCCTTTTCCCCCATTTGTCCTCCTTTCCAATTGTCCATGTCCTCCTTTGCCCATTCAGATATCTGGTAACCCTAGGTATGGAGGTTTCAGCCACGTCTCTCCGTGGCCAAAAGTCTGTGCTAGTGAGTTCTTTCTCTCTCCCTTCCCCCTCCTCCTTCCTTGACTCTCACATTATTAAAACACCCTGGGATTCCCATCTCTCTTGGAACATTCACTTCCACAATACAGCAAATTGTTGGGAAACTGATATAGGCTCTTACAAAAATGGAAACATACAAGCTTCCACAAAAGTGGAAACATACATGACATGACCAGCTTCACAGTTACAAAGGTATTGCAAGGAGTAAAGGCTTAGCAGGGGGAAAAAAATCCTTTCTTCCCCTGTTGGAATAATTTCTTCCCTTTGGTTCATTATTTGCTCAGGTCAAACACCAGATGCCATAATTCAGAGTTCAACGTTCATTCAGCACACAAGGCAATAGTGTTGGGTAGAGCTGGCTGCTTTCCAAGAGTGAAACACTGTTCTGTTTCACGGTAGCAAACACAATTGCCAAGGAGCAGAAGCAGATAACAGCAGGCAAGTTGCAAAACAAAGACTCAAGTTTGTAGTCAGAGAAGCAAAGGAGTACTCTATTTACAAGGCCAAAAGTCACAAAGCCAGATCAAGTAGTCAGCCAGTCCAGAAGTTGGGAATTCAGGATACACACAAGCTAGGTTTCCAAACAGTTGTTTTCCTACAGAGAATCAAGGTAAAGCAAGCTACATAAATCTCTCTGCTGGCAGCTGGCTGCAATTATTCAGGCCTTTGCCTTGTGAGGAGTCTCCTTGATTGACGCCACTCTGCTCGCATCTGCATGCATCTG